TCAGAAGAGGATAGTGGGAAGGAAAGAAGTCTGGATACTTCAGTGCACTTCCAGATGCGCTCGTATGACATCATCGGATCAGGAAAATGTTGCTTAGCAGCAGTCCAGTACCAGTCCAGGTGCTGAACTATTTGCGTTGGCGTAACCAAATAAATGATCCTAGAACTGTTGTATAAAAGCAATATCACACTCAAGGTCACGATGTTGTGCTGAATGATCTTTAACACTACTGCTGACAACACATTGTGCACCCATGGTCTGTCAGCTACAGCGCAAGCTTGTTTACCTCATCTCTCATTCCCCTGTTGGGGCTTAACCTGCCAGCTGCTGTCGATCAAACACAGTACATAGACTGTAAATAAAGATGGACGTAGTCTCCACGATATCACACACAGGTTCCAGCTAATCCATAAATGCTGATTTGTGGCAAGCATATGCTTGTCTTAGCATCGTGGCTGGGCATCTTGCTCGAAGGTTAACTCAAGGCTAATTAATTTGCTGGCAAATTAGGTAGTTTATGAGCTATGCTAACAAGCCAGGTATGATGAGTGCAGACACTGATACCTGCTAATTAGCACTGATATATACAGTAAATAAAATTATAGCGAAATTTCATGTGTATGGAGCTGAGACTTTGGTGCATACCTGTTTGTGACGAGCATACGCTCACCCACCTGTCACTCAAAGTGACTTCACCCTCAATTATACATAACATGTTTATTTCTGCTGTAAAGTTGGACATTTTAACATGGGAGTCTATGGAGATTGACTCACTGTTGGAGCCAGCCTCAAGTAGTCATAAGAGGAACTGCAGTTTTTGGTGCTTCAGTGTTGGCTTCATTTCTCAGCCCTGGAGGTTGCTGCTTGATACAGATGAACAGGGGCATTTCTGATGTTTCTCCAAAGATCTTTTAATGATAAAATATTAACAATCATTTAATGTTTGATCAATGACTAAATATGATTTCCGTTGGGCTTTAGATAAATTTGTGGTGTGTGCAGATGTTATCATTGTCATCAGTGCTGTTTTCCAAAGCCTTGCAGCTACATGTGATGTGCTGGCGTATAATTATGCTTCTTTTTGTGTTTACACTGAGTCATTAGTGCCAGAATGCTGCTCAGTTTGCCTTTAAATAGACAATCATGTCTCTTCCTTTTATGCCAACCTAAGATTTAGGATCTGCCCTCCCTCACTCACTCCCCCAAAGCAACCTGCAGGCTTCTGGCTTTCTATCCATGGTGACTATCTTACACAGTATATTTTACCTTTAGTTGTGCTAGATTCACCCTGTAGTTTAACTCCCTGTATGCTTTCTATATAGTTTAATAACGGCTTGTTTTGTAGTAGCGTAATGTACATTTTAATTTAGTGTAGTAGTGACATTGCTGTGGTTAACTGTTTCAGAAGAGAAGAGTTTATTCCCATGTTATTATTGTAAGAATCTTCTATTCTATTCTATTCTATTAGATTACAATCTCTCTATAACAAGTTTCAACCTGTCAGAAATACAATTTGGCATTTCTGGTGAAGGGACCCAGTTACAGATTGATATGGCCAAATGAGACTACCCTTTTAAAGGATTTATGAATGGTTTATAACTAGTTTATTAATTAGCTTGTTAACAATATATAAATGGTAGTAACTCATTAGTAAGACTAGAAAATGCATTTCCTGTGGAAAATGCGTATGAATGCTGAGAGATGAATGAGTTTTCTGAAGCAACTGCTAAAGCAATGCTGAAGTGGATGAATCAACTGCTGAAAAGCAACTCGTAAGCTGAAAGTTGAATTGCCTAAAATGGTTGAAAAAATTGCTAAATTGTTGCTGAAAAAAAAGTGAAAATACTGAAAGCTAAAGTGTAACAGTTGAAGAGTTGGAGAAGCTGAAGTCAGTACCTGAAGAACCTTACAAATATTATAATGTTAAATCTTAATTTCATTATCTGAACAATCTGAAATGTATTAAATTGGAAGAAATTGCTGAAGTAATGCTGTACATGGCTGAACAGAAAGAAATCTTAAACTGGAGGTTGAATGGCATGAAATGGCTGGCCTCATTTGTTGAAGCAAAGTGAAAAAAACAGTACAAAATTGTACAAAAATGTACAAAACAGCAAAATCTGTAATTTGAAAGCCAAATGGCCTGAAATGGCTGAAAAATACCTAAAGAAGAAATAGATAGATAGATAGATAGATAGATACTTTATTTATCCCTTAGGGGTTGATAATAATAATAACAGTTAATAATAAATAGTTCAGATCACATCCTTAGTTCATATCCTTAAATGTACACTGTAATGTACAACCAAACTTGTAAGCTCAAATCTGAATGAGATTTCTGAAGCAATGGTAAAATGGGTGAAAAAGCAGCTCATATTAATTGAAGTACAGTGCTTTGAAAAGTTAGATGCCGAAATATTAAACTGGAGTAGCTGAAAGATGAAGTCCATTAGCTGCAAAAGACGAGAACTGGGACATGTTATCTGCCTGCATTCCTGTCTGTATAGAATCAGTTAGAATGACAAACTGAAGTTAACTGTCTTCATGTTGGAGCAGTCTGTAGCTGGACTTTGACAGAAATGTCATTAAAGTTGATAAATACGGCAGACAGTCTCTAATCAACTGATTTGAAACAGCTGTGTGCCCCCTACCCCCACCCCCTGCACTCAGAGGTTGCCATGGTGATTTTGACTGCTTATTTACTGTACTGAGTGAGACAGGGATTCAGCTGAAATATACATCTCAAACTCAGGCTTCCCAGTAAAATATAGTAGTATAAAGGTATATATTTTCTGAGAGAGTAGACTCTACTGAATGCAAATATTTGTCAGTGGGCCCAAAAATGGGTTGGGGACAAAAATTTTCTGAAAGAAGACGAATTATCTTGGTTCTGGTCAAAAAACTTTGTCTGAGCAGTGAATTGTGTGCCTGTGAGGACAAATTAAACAGAGATTTTAAGACCAGTTTAACCCCTTCTCCCACTCTAGCTGTAATGTCATCCCCTCTTACCTCCTCCCATAGATACCCATTTTAAATTCAAAAACTGTACATAATATCAGCAACATTATCACACAATCAGTGCCACAAGACTCTCCTGAACATGTCTGTGTGGTTTAGGTTTTCTTAGGAAAGATGTGGAAACAGGAGCGAGTTACAAAAAAGTGTCAGTTCTGCTTTTCTCAGAAAATCTGCTCCTGAATTTGTATTGCAGTTTATGTGAGAGTTGGAGGGTACTACCATCACTCTCTGTGCTTAGGTAGACACTTTCTTTGGAACAGGACAAATTTGTCTACAAACTGGGAAGAAATTATGTGGGAAGATTTAAATATGTGGCCACAAGGACAAATTACGCATCATTTTTTCAGACGAGTTTGAGAGCTTCTTCCACTCTAGCCCTGAACATTCCGCGCAATACACACCCATTATAAATTCAAAAATGATCAGAAAAAAGCATAAAACTAAAACAGTGATAAATCAAAAACTGTTCAAGATATCAAAAAGTTCAATACAAGCTTAATAGTTAAAAGTCTTGTGAACATTTTAAAGTTTGAATAAATTCTGTAATTGAAAGTCTGCTGAAGTAGTTGAAAGAGGCTGAAGTTTTCAAGGATTTGAACAGTCTCTCCATTCATTTGAATAGTAAAAAAGTAGCAGAAAAAGCTTAATATTTTGAAAATCATAAATAGTAGAAAAAAGTTGTATACAAGCATAAATTTGCTGAAGGAGCTGAACGTTTTGATAGTTGAATGGTTTCTGTAGGGAAAAAGTATGAAGGAGTAGTTAGATGCTGTATATGGGCGGAAGAAAAAGAATAATAAAACATAAAGTTTCAAATAACATGGCATTCACACTAATAATAATAATAAATAATAAATAATAAAGTATAATGATTTGAAGAACAATAGTGTGAATGCCTCAGCACTGTGTTATAATTTGTTTATAATTATAATTAATAATTTGGGATTTATAAAGTGTTAACGACCAAATTGATAACCTAACTATAAAGCATTTATAAATCCTTTAAATCCTAGGGTAGCCTTATTGTAAAGTGCTACCGAAAAAGAAAATCACTCCTCTGACTTTTCTACAGTCTAGATTTATTACTCCTCTGTCTTCCTCAGTTCAATCTGTAACATGAGAGACGGCAGTAGAAGAAGTACTCAGGTGACTTCCTGAAGAACCACAGCAATGTCTCCAGTTAAAGGTCCCATATTAAATAAAGGTAGATTTCCACATATTTTTTATTATCAAGCAGGTCTAGGTTCTATATTAATACTGTGAAAGTATCAAAGCCTCAGTCCACAGAGAAATGCACACAGCCTGTATTCAGAAACTGAGCCTTTAAATTAGCCATCGGGACTTCTGTAACTTTGTGATGTCACAACAAAGCAGTCATTGCTCTCAGCCATGCCCCAAGCCCCACCCACCTGAACCCATCATCCAACCTTGCAGGATTTGGTTTCTCTGAGTGTTTACCTGAAATAAGTATTTTATTGGATCACTCAGAAAACAGTCAGCCAATCAGAAGAGAGGCTCAGTGTCTCCTCTCTTCTGATTGACTCACCGACCTGTTGTTACTAGAGCTCCAGAGAGAAGCCTGAGAGAGGAGATATAAAACTACACTGAGATGGTTTTTGGTTCTTAAAACCACAAATATATCTTCTTATTGATCAAGACTTAGAATGAAACACTGGAGAAGAGTAAAATATGGGACCTTTAAAAATCTTTAGCATCTGAATAAACTTGAAATAACCTAAACCACTTCATTCATTTCTCTAGATGTGTACACACCAACTGTTGTTCAGATTGTTGTTGTCCTGATCTATGAATATCATTTTGTAACCCAGATTATTCTTCTTGTATTATTGTATTCTATGGCATGAAATGTATGTAACCTCTGTGCTGCAAGATAAAGTAGAATTTATTTTACTATTATTAACTCAACATTAACTCCTCAACCAGTTGTGACTGAAGTGCTTACCTTTCATTTCTGCCTCCAGCTGTAGATCGACTGTCCAATCTAATGATGTCATCAGGGAGCAGTGATGGAGCCGTCAAACTGAACCCGGCCACATCTGTTCAGGCGCTGTCTGATGAAGTGATAGTCCCAAACCACACAACCCAAACAGACCATGACTTCCAAATACCCATCACCAACATAGATGATATTTTATTAGAAGTGAGCCTCTGCAGTGACACAAACACACACACCAAACCCCCCAAGGAAATATTATCCAATGAGCATGTATCAAGCCAACATGCTGTACCCCTGTCTGAGGGGGCTGGGATTCAGTTTCCAGTCCAGACTAGTCTCCTGGACAGCTCTGTCTTAGATACAGGAAATGAGAAATGTGTTGTCCTCCCTGTGGAGACAACACATGTCCTCCCTGTGGAGACAACACATGAGAACCAACCAGAAGAGAACGCTGGTTCTAAACACATGTACCCCACAGGAGAAGACAGCGATTCAAACAGTGAGTCCACCACTGACAGTAGTGTAGTGGCCAATAAGAATGCTGAAAGAGGTGGTGGTATTCATGAGCCCTCCTCAGATGAGGAAGAAGTGGAGTTTTGTTGCTGTGATGCCCAGAAACCTGCTGCTGATGGACACTCACCAAACAGGTCTTCACCTGTTCAGCCTGCAAGCAGTCAGGATACAGAGCTGGATCAGACCTTCGATGTGAGGCGGGGTGACTCTGATGTCTCAGTAAGAGACAAAGAGCAACCATGCCAGTTTTCCAACAGTCCAATACCTGTGTCCTCTACAGAGTGCTATGTTAATGGTGCTATTGAACCCTGCGACAAAGCTAAAGAATGTGTGGCATCTTGTCCTGGTAGCTTAAGCCCCTCCCCACCAGATACCCACAGTCTCACACAGGAAGCAGATTCCTCCCTCACCTCAGATTTACTGAAAAAGTTAAATATAAAAAAAGCCCTGTCACCTTCAGTGGAGTCAGAGACCTATGGTTCAAGCCTCAGCAGATCAGACACAAAAGTCTCAGCAACAGTGATAAACAAAGAGAAAGTCCTGACAGGTAGAACTAATTTGAACACCCAGACTAGCTCCTCACTGAAGAATACCTCTGGCCTGAAGCTCCTTGATATCCCAGACAGTCCTGTGTGGAGCAGCATCTTAAAACTTCCATCTGAATCACAAATCAGTCCAAAAACAGCTGCTCCCAAACTGAAAGGCCTGAGTATCAAGAGTAAGAACAAGTCACAGGAGGAGCCGCTCCAAAAACCAAGTCCAGCTCCTTCAAACATCGACGCTGCCTCGAACCAGTCAACACAGTTACCATCAGTGACAACCAGATCCAGCTGTTTGAGGACCAGTAACCAGCCTGATGTGAACAGCTGCCTTGCTTTGCCCAGAGTAAGTGAGAGAAGGCAGGTTAAATCTGAGCACAGAGATGTACAACTGACCATGGAGAAGAGCGTCCATGTAGGTTCCAGATCTCAGGGCCAGTCCCACCAACCTCCCACTCAGAGGACATTTATAGAGGTTCAGCTGTCTTCTTTATCTGGTTCATCATCACCAGTTGTGGCTAACAGTGAAACAGTAAATTCAGGCTCTAAACTCACTCAGAGAGGAACAGAGGTGAGATCAGCACCTGTTCTTTCTGCTGCTGTTTCCACTGTAGAGAAAACAAACGCTGTGGTCCGTAACACAGACTTGAACTCACTGTGTTCTACTAAAGAAACTCACTCAACCACAAAACCCTCAAAGCCTAGTACTGCTGTGGAGACAGGTGAGACCCTGAAGTCCAGCACATCCAGACTCTACATAAAGACGATGGAGAGACGAAGCTTCTCAACAGACGCTGCAGTGTCTGCAGGCTATAATCCCTTCTCTGTCCGACATAAGATAAAGTCTTTTGAGAACCTGGCTAACTTTGACCGGCCTGTAGCTAAAAGCAGTGACATTCAGTCTCACGCCCTGACGTACAGATCCTCACTGAACCAGAGGATCGCTGGTTATATGGACTTGGTGAATTCTGTTGACTGTCGTGCACGGCAGAGAAGTTTTAGTTCTTATGTGGAGACTCTGATAGCGACCACACCCTGCTCTCCTCCTCTTGGTAAACCCCCCTCGAACATTACACTGATGAACCTTGACTTTCCACATACACGCTGTAACACAGCTCCCCTGTTGGAGGACGGTCCTAAGGCTGAGGCTCCCAAAGCTCCAGATGGATTTACACCACAGACCCCTCCAGTGCTGCGGAGGAAACATGGCAGACTTCCCCGCAGCAGGCTGCAGCAGCTCAGGGCTCTCAGTATGCCTGAGCTCGAGAAGCTATGCACAGAGGACTTTACCAAAGGACAGGGTACAGCAGTGGAAAAAACTGAGGTCAGCATCCAGCCCACAGAGACTGAGAGCTCCCCTCCCTCTGCAGCCCCGACAGATGTGGATGTGATCAGGGTGAGCCAACGTGATCCTGGATCTTCTGAAGAGACTCCTCAGGAAACCCCAGAGACCCATGGACCACAGCCTGGCTGGTCCATCAGGTGAGGAGTTCAATTAAAAACAGCTGATTTTGAATCTTTTCTATCCATTGAAGCCACTGTGAGTAGGAGTTGAAAATGAGTTTCGTATCAGCTGTGCAACAGCACAAAGCTGTTGAATACATCTTATTACAATCTGTTTATCAACCCCAGATCACATTCTGTGAGTATAACTGGAACAGTGTGTAGGATTCAGTGACATCTAGTGGTGAGATTGCAGATTAAAACAGAAATGCCCACAGGATCATTGTTGCTGTCACCTCTGACCCTTTCTCTCCCTGAAACATCAGGCTCTGAAACCCCCTCATTTAGCAACGCAACACAAAGCAGTTAGTCACAATCAACAGAAGGGGTGTCAAATGGCACCACACAGGTGAGAGCCAGAGCCAGAGGCATATTGATTTTGCGTTGTTTGTCTGTCCATCCCATTCTCATGAATGTGATATCTCAGTAATGCCTTGACCAAACAGATCTTGCACAGCTGTCCAATTGGAATCAAGGACGGACTGATTAGATTTTAGTGGTCAAAAGTGACCTCACAAAATGCAGTTTTGGCCTTGTGAATGCAAAATCTCTGTAACGCCTTCAAAGAACTTATTTAAATTTAGTACAAATGTTTACTGGGACTCAAGGATGAACTGAAAGATTTTGGCGGTCAAAGGTCAAGGTCATGATGACATCACAAAATGCGGTTTTGGCCTTTTGAACGCAGTGTCTAGAGAACTCCACAAGGGAATCCCTTCACATTTGTTACAAATGTCCACAGGGACTCATGGACAAACTGATTAGATTTTGGTGGTCAAAGGTCAAAGGTCAAGGGCAGTGTGACCTCATAAATCACTTTTTAGCAATTACTCAAGACTTAACACATTGATTATGACAAAATTTCACACATGGTTAATTTTTTATATAATTCTGGATTAACAGGGATGTAACTTGAAACCAGTCTGAGTGGCAGAGGTAGACAACCACGAGGTGGTAATCATTCAGATGATTCTGCTCATATTGTAAGGCAGTTACAGATTGCCCCCTCTTTCCTTATGTGTTACTTGTTTTTTATTTTATTTTTGATTACAGCATACTGATTGGTTAGTGAGCATGATGCACTCACACGTGAACAGCGCTTGCTTGCTGTTTTGTGGCTATAGAGTCCACAACTCAGCTTGGGTTAGATCACTGATGTACTGTATGCATGTATGTACTGTTGTATGTTCTCTACTCATCTGCTGAAGTGAAGTAAAGTTCATAAATGTAAGATTCCCTGTCGTGCAAAGTGTTTTCACCCATGCACATCCAGGTGAAGTAGCCTAGTTTAAGGGGTCAAAGCACGACAACTGGTGTCAGAAGTGGGATATCCAAAACTTACATCCACCTGACAGAAAAAAAAATTATCCGAGCTAGCTACCCAGCTGACCGGATTCAGAAGCTTCATGTTTCAACACTTGCTGGTTGCTAGCCGTGGTTCCCAGCATAGAAGACTGTTAATGTGCACTAATCACCGAGCAAGATTGCACTCGCCTATTTAGTGGAGCAGCGCACCAGCAGGACTTACTACAGTAAACACAATACTCTGATAATGACAATAACAGGTCCTTAAAGTAAAGACTGATACATAAAAGACATTGCTTGCAAAAGTTGAAATAAGTGGAACAGGCAACTAAACAAATAAATTGAAAATAAAATAAAAAAAAGAGAAAAGAAAAGAAATAATTACATAAATGAGAACAAGAAAATGATAAGTAAGACCAAGAGACAGTGGTCATGGCCACTTTGCAGCTGAGCTGAATCTAATCAATTAGCAGGCTTGCAACTCTGGCCCCAACATGAGGAATGTCAACCCTGAACCTGACAGCAGGCAGAGAGACACTAGGGACTATGGGCATGAAAACCCAACGCTTGTTTCCCCACCATGATGACCAGAGGCTAAATAGCTCAGGCCACAACAATCAGCACACTCTGCAGGAAGTACCTCGACCTAAACTTGCCACATTTGACACAAATGATGACTGAGACTCTTTCTTGTTGCCATTTGAGCATCAGGTCAGGAAGTATGGATGGAGAGCTGCAGAATGAGTGGACAGGCTGCCCGAGTGCTTAAGAGGAGCTGCAATACAGTATGTCCACTCACTGCCAGAGCATACAAGGGAGGATCATGGCCTCTTAGTAGAGCAGCTAACCCAGTGCTTTGGAAAAAGGGACCCCCCTACCACAGTAAGGAGGAAGTTGGGAGAACTTCAACAAGGTAGAGAGATCAGCTGAATTTGCAGAAGAGGTGCAACACCTCATCACACTGGCATATCGATCCATGGAGACCAGCTGCAGGATCAACTGGCAACTGATGCCTTCCTTAAAGACCTAAGAAATCAGAGTGGCCTACGAAGTAATGAACCGAGATCCATGCTCTGTCGCAGAGGCTCAAAAGTGTGTGGAGGCTCATGAACATAACTACAAAGCTACTGTAGGACGCTAAACTGAAATAAAGAACAGAAGGAGGCGCATTTCTTGGGCTGATGATGAAGACACGTGACGACTTCACTGCTACCTCTCGCAGGACTCAGGACCCTTGTTCATACAGTATGAACATTTCCAGTCTACACATACAGAATGCCAGCAAGTTAAAGCAACAAAACAACTTCCTCTGCTATTAGAGACTGAGTTGAACCATCCTCAGGTGGCCTATGTTTACACGCAGCTCCCATACGTGAATCTGTCCTCCTTGGATTAGAACTAATGAAGTCTCATGATGTTGTCATCCACACCCGTGGCAAAGTTTTCATTGGAAATGAACTTGTGCCCTCCAGAATAGTAAGAGGGGATGGATCAGACTATTGTATTGATAGAGTGATCCTAGAAGAGACCACCACTATACCAACAACTTCAGAATGTGTTGTGTGAGGCGAAGTGGAGGACCCCAGGCCAGGGGTTCCAGCTGTACTAGAGCCTTTGAAAATCACAGAAGCTGTAGCCTCCAGAATTGTTGCTACCACCATGGAGAAGCGGGTGCCAGTCCAGTTATGCAACCTCTCAACCAGCAAAGCAGCCCTGCCAAAAAGAGCATGCCTTGGGCTCTTTGTTGAAGCTTATCCTGAAAAGCTATCATGTTCAACTCAATCCCTCTTCGCCAATGGTGACTCTGACCTGGGTTACCTGTCTGCTGTCACACACAATATTGACACAGGACAAGCCTGTGTGCCAACCAGTGAGAAGAACACCTCTTGGATTCCAAAGTGCAGAGGAAACGCATCTTCAAGCCATGCTTAAAATAGGTGTCAGTACACCATCGTCAGAGTGGGTCATTTTAGTATGCAAGAAGGATGGAGGTGTGCAGTGGTGTGTAGATTACCACTTCTTGAACAAATAGCAGTGGATGACAAGGACCGTGAGAACACTGCATTCATCACCCACATGGCAATGGAACTCATCCTCAGAGGACTTCAGTGGGAAACATTATNTCAGCCCTGCCAAAAAGAGCATGGATGGAGGTGTGCAGTGGTGTGTAGATTACCACTACTTGAACAGATAGCAGTGGATGATGGAACTCATCCTCAGAGGACTTCAGTGGGAAACATTATTGATCTATCTTGACGATGTCATCGTCCTTGGCAGAGGAGTTGATGAAAGCCTTGCCCGGCTTGCACAGGTCTTCAAGTGTCTCCACAGCTATGGGTTGAAGCTAAAGCCGTCAAAATGTCCAAAAGTTCTCTTCCTGGGCCACGTCGTGAGTGGTGACGGGATCCGCCCAAACCCAGCTCTGGTCAGGGATGTACTGCTCTGGGAGTTGCCAACAGCCTGCAGGAGCTGTAATCTTTCCTCAGGCTGTGTAACTACTGCTGCAAGTTTGTTCCAACTTTTGCAGAACTAGCAAGCCCTCTCCACGGCCTGCTAAAGAAGGGAGCTGCATTCCTGTGGACAGATGAGCACCAGATTGCTGTCAAGCAGCTCAAGGAAAGGCTAACAACTACACCAGTGGTGGGGTACC